AAAATTCAATTTTTCTGTTGAGAACTCCTAAATTATTAATTTTAAAAAAATTATACTTAAACCATTAAATTCTACGTAAAAAGGTGCTTTGGAAATGTTTTCATAGAAATACAAAATTTTTCATAGCAAAAAAGTTACCGCGATTTGTTAAAAATGCACATTTTTGAAAAACACCCCGTAACTCCGAAACGGTAACAGATATCGATGTGCGGTTTCCACCATCATGTTTTTGATGAAAATTGAGCTCCAGACACCGATATTAGTTTTCGTCTATCTCCTATAGAAATGGGTGTTTCCAATTAAAAGCGTCGAATTTGACCCACCCTGTACAGAGAATAATTTTTAACAGTAGTATAAAAACGGATAATTTCAATTCCGCTAAATAAAAGTTGATAGCTTTAAAAACAAATTAGAATTTTAAAATGTTAGTTTTCTCCCAAAAATACCGTATGATCGAAAAAAACGGCGTCAGCGATGGCTATGGAATGAAGATCGCTGTCATTTTATATGTAAATTTATATGGGAAATGTCACTGATGCTCATTTCCCAGCCAACTGGACGCCGTTTTTTTTTCGATCATACGGTATTTCTGCATCAAAATATACGCCCATCTAAATAGCTGTATGACGAAATACTTAAGATAATAATCAAGTACATTAATACACATATTCTGGTTTGTTTAATTAATTACCAGTTTCTATATTATGATAAAGCAAAACAAAAAAGAGGAAAATATTATTTAACAAACATTTAACTTTCTTATTACATCAAGTTTTTTGCTTTGTAAGAATATTTATCACATATAATTGATTAGAAAAATTATCTCTATATTCAAAGATAGATAATATATAATTGCAAGTAAGGAGATAAAAATTAAAGTACTTAAAAACATTATTTAAAATAATATCTCACCAACACTTCTTACATGATATACAGGGTGTCAAAAAAATAATGTATCTAACTTTGGTGTGTGTGGGTGATTCTACAAATATAAATAACACAAAAAGTTCCTATGAACATATGCTCTAAAATTATTCCCGAGGAAGTTACAGCCCTTAAAAGGGTAAATAAAAATAATATATATTTATTTTAAGAACACTGGTAAACCGTATTTCTTGAAATTTAGTACTCTTACACGCATTTTAAGGTCAAAACGAATGTCGATAGTGTAAAATTCCGTAACAGCCCTGAAAGGGTACTGTAAAGGGGGTAAGGGTACTGTAATCAAAAACTGTTAAAATAACTGTGCATTGAAGTTTGTGCGTTGAACATCTTTTAAACGGTTAATTTAATCTACTAATCATAAGAAACTAAAAAATCATAAAAAAAGTCATAGAGTGAATTTCCTACAAAACCATGAGTTGCGCCAAAGAATATCTTAATACCCTAGAAGTCTCGTCTCGCATCAAAATCCGACCTGTCGATGGGGCCTCGCTTTGGCGAGCGAGGCCCCAACTTCGTGGAGCCTCGCTATTTTACTCGGAATTGAACGAATAGACGCGCGGCGTTGCCTTGTTTTGTATGTACTTTCTTGAATAGTTTTAAATTGTAGTTTTAAATTTCATCTATTGCTATAATCAGTCTTTCCGCTCTCCGCACTCCCCAGTTTTCACCGTTCTACCCATCATCTCCTATTTTTTAATAGGGGTTGTTTTTTTTTAATTTTTTGTTACCATCTCCAAAACGGCTTGACCGATTTTGATAAAATTTTATACGTATATTCAGTACGTCTAAGCCCACGGCCACACAGAAAGCGTTTTTAGCGTTTTGCGTTTTTTGCGTCTCAAGCGCTTTTTGCGATTTTACCGTTTTAAACGTTTTTTTCGATTTGTGTCCATTAAAAACACGCAAAAGACGCGGCAAGCTCGTGGATTCCCGGCCCGTTCAACAATCAATCCTGTGAGAAAGAGTTAGCGTTGAAGAGACGAAGATAAAAGATGCTGGGATTGAATTGTGGACAGGCCGGGGCATATATTCGGCGACAAACACAATCTACTGCTAGTGCCAGTGGTGTGTGTAAAAATAATAATTATTAGTTGTCATTTATTTTACGAATTTTAGTTTATATGTGTATAGTTATTTTATGTTGTATTGTTGTGGTTACTTCTAATAGTTTTTTATGTTGTAGTGTTGTGGTTACTTGTTGTAATTATAATATAATATAATATAATAAAAGAATTATAATTATATAATAGAATAGTAAATATATATTACTAGTTGCTAACGCAATTTTAGGATATGATTTATATAACTTTTTGGAGTGAAACTTCTTTACGCGCGCTGGGAGTAAACATCCAAGGCCGTGACATACGAGCTAGTGAGACGGCCCTGACACACGAGCTAGTTGTAACGAAACGTGTTAACGGCTTAGAAATACGTAGTGACGCGACGTGTATTTGTGAGCAATCCACGTGTTTATCAAAAATATTGATATTTTAATACAATTTTTTTAAAAGTGAATCAAATTATTACGTCTAAAAACCGTTTTTAACACGTAAAAAACTATTTTTATTATTTTACGCGAATAAAACTGTTATATGTAAAAAACTATTTTTTACGCGTATAAAACTATTTTTACTGGTAGAAAACTATTTTTTACTCGTATAAAACTATTTGTTAAACGTAAAAAACTATTTTTTTACGCATCAAAAACTTATTGTTTAAAAAACCTTTTTTACGCCAAAAAGAAATATTTTTTACGTGTAAAAAACTATTTGTTACATGTAAAAAACTATTTTTTACGCGTCAAAAACTTATTGTTTCTGGTAAAAAAACTTATTTACCAAAAAAAAATATTTTTTACGTGTAAATAACTATTTGTTACACGTAAAAACCATTTTTTTACGCGTCAAAAACTTATTATTTCTTGTAAAAAAACCTTTTTTACACAAAAAAATTTTTACGTGTAAAAAACTATTTATTACACGTAAAAAACTAATTTTTACGCGTCAAAACCATTTGTTTCTGTTAAAAAAACCTTTTTTACGCAGAAAAAAAAACACTTTTTACGTATAAAAAACTATTTTTTACGCGTAAGAAAATATTCCCTTAATTTATTACTTTTTCAACATTTCATTAATAGAATCTTCCTAAACAGTAGATATTCTCTATAAAAATATTTTTAGATAATATCCTAAACTGAAAGAAATGCTATTACTATTTAATTTATTTTTATTGTATTATTAAATATTACGTTCGCCTATGACGGGGTCTCATAGAAAACGCTAAAGACGCTACAGAAAACAAATTGATTTGTTTTCATTTGCGTTTTTTGCAAGACACGCCGACCGCCACCGCTTTTGGTGGGGCCACTCCTATATAATCCTGTCATTTTGTTTTAGACGCAAAAGACGCTTCACGCTAAAAACGCAAAAAACGCTTTCTGTGTGGCCGTGCACTAAGAATACGTGTTATCTATTTTTTATACCCTTAAGTGATAAGGGTAGCCCACCCCCTTTTTATTATTTGAAAAGAATTTTTTTTTTATTTTTTAGTTGGCATTAAAAAATACAACAACCTTAAATTTTTACCGTTCTATCATCATCCCCTATTTTTTAATAGGAGTTGTTTTTTAAATTTTTTGTTACCATCTCCGAAACGGCTTGATCGATTGTGATGAAATTTTATTTGTATATTCAGTAGGTCTGAGGATAGATTGTTATCTATTTTTTATACCCTTAAGAGATAAGGGTAGTCCACCCCCATTTTTTTATTTTTTGAAAAAAAAATATTTTTTTTATTTAGCATTAAAAAATACAAACAACCCTAAATTTTCACCGTTCTCTTCTAGGTATTCACTTTCGTCACTTAAGGAAACTCTGTACAAAATTTCATACTCCTAGAACTACATTTTTTTGTACACAATTTCACCCCCAGTTTCACAACCCTTAGGATATAAATTTCCAAAAATCGCTTATCAATGTTCAAATGCGCCACCTCTGTCCAAAAGTTCATACTCCTAGTACAGATTTTGTTTTTCGTATAATTACACCCCTTTATCTAATTATACCCCCTTATGGGCCGAATTTTAAAAAATTACTTAGTAGTGCTCATCTTAGAGAACGAATTATTATTCTCCGTATTTACTCCAGTTTCCTAAAACTAGTTAATTTTTTATTGGAATAGAAGTAATTTATATTAGCAGATACAAAAAAATTGGCGCCGGCGCCGGGAGGCACGTATAGCCGCCCATACTAAAATATGTTAATAAAAAGTTGGTAGGCAGTTCTTTTAGTTTCAAAGTAAAGGAATTTTTTCAATTTTTTTTTATCTCAAAAACTGCAACTTTGACTGATTTTGATGTTATTACAAATTTTGTTGCAAATATTATTCCTAATCTTAAATTGAAAACCGCTGTAATTTTAGAGTTACGATTTTTTTTAATTTTTTTCTTAACGAGTTATAAAATTCATAAGAAAAAAGAAATCTGCCTTAAAATAATCAAACTTAAACCTTTAATAACTTTCCAATGGTGAGGTTTACAAAATAATTGTAAGAGACCTTTCTTGTAGAGAATTCAATTTCCTAATAATATATGAGACGAGATTTTTTTTCCAAATAGTAGTTAACGAGATATGGTTTTTTTTTCTAATAATTAGGAAATAATAGGAAACTGAAAGGCGGAGGACCTTCCTATTAAAATTAAGAGCTCATACTTGGAGAGAATTTTTTTGAGGTGTCTACCAACTTTTTTTTCAGTATAAAGTGAGAAAAAAATAGCCGATTTTTTTGACCCACCCTAATATACAAATTTAATGAACTGATTTGTAAATAAAAAATAAATATAACTTATCAAAGAATTTACTTAAGAAAATTTAAGCACCTTAAACTGTGCTTTGCTATTGCATAACAACCGACTTTATTGCTTTAATATGTAGATTAAATATGTTATTAAGTTATTGATATAATTAATGTTGGCATTACTAATATTTGTAGAATAATTATATTACTCTGCTATTCAATTTAAATTATTTTTAAATAACAAATATAAAATGACTTACTGAAATATCCTCCAAAGCCCCAGCAAAATCTAACCCACAGGTTTTTGGATCATAATACTTATATGGCTTTACTTCCAAACCAGAATGTTTAAAGATCGGCGTATGATTACCCCATGATGGTGCAGGAATATATACAACTTTATTACCAGGGAAAAATCCACTTAAGAATGCTGCACCAACTCTTAAAGATCCTGTACCAGATATACCCTGTATCGTTGCATTTAAACCGTTCTCTACTACATCATTGCAGTCTCCTAAAGCTAGTTCAATACTACGTTTACAGAACTCGGCCGGTCCCCCTATAGGTGAATACTCCTTATCTAAATTTTTCGACCTCATTTTTTCTTCAGCTTTACGAACAGATGGAAGAACATAAGGTTTTCCATTATCGTCACGGTAAGCTCCAACCCCTAAATTAATCTTTTTTGGGTTTGTGTCTCGCTTAAAAGCTTCGGTTACACCTAGAATGACGTCTGGAGGCCCCATTTGTACGCCGGTCCACCACGAACTATATAATTATTATTTATTAAAAGTAATCTCACTAAAGAACAATATATGATATATGATACTTACTTTGTCCTTTGAGAAATGCATTTTACACCACATTTATTTTGAAAGAGCACAACAGATTTTTTTAAAGACATTTTAACAGCAAATTTATAAAAATCCCGTCAGCTTATGTTATCGAGTCGGAGGCTTGTGCTAATTGAAGGCGCGACGTTTTGAAAATAATAACGATCAAAACAAGTGTATTTTAAGAAAATCTACGTAAAATTCAGATTCCGGAGATAACAAACAATTTCAGCTCCAACTACAAATTTTGATGACGACTCCCTGACGAATCTGACGATTCTGTTGTCAAATTTTATGCACAAATCATGTTTTTAGGTTAAAAACCAGTAGAGGTCAATGCAAAGGTGATGATTATTGCCCACGCAATGCCTTCTATTAAAAGATCAGCCTACGGGCGGACCTTTGTTTACTTCATCAGCTGTACATACTTAGATATTGGGTTAGATTCCGTTTCATATTTTGTCGGTTGATTTTTGGTTTTAACTCTTTGATTTTTGGTATTATTTATTATTGTAGTGCAAAAAACTAATTATTTTGGTGTTGAAGTGACATAAACTACTACCAGATATATGGTCACCTCGGTTTCGCACAAAAATAGAAATTTTAAAAATTACACGTTGTGCAAGTGATTTAACCTAAAAGTGCCCATACATTTTTTACTTATCGTGATTTTTGTATGTGTTTTTTAAGACTCTAACAATTCATCAATAAAGCTTAAGTGGAGTGTGTTATTGGTGCTATGCCTAATCTTTGTTGTGTTCCTGGTGGAAAGGATGGTTACTAAGGATAGTTATTATACTAGGCAGCCTAAAGTGTCCGGAAGAGCAAGAAAAGTGGGTACGAGTTATAAATCAAGAGAATTTTATTGAAAATATCTTTAATAAATTTAAAAATAATATTCTCCCATGATGGTATTAATGAAAACTGGACAATTATGTTTATTTTATTCATATTGTGGAATCTCCACCCTAAGTGTTGCTGGTTCAGCTTCGATAGATTCAAACACGTAAGTAGGTATTATGATCTAGGGAAAAATAAAGAATATGTGTATTAGAGATCATGAAAAAGATTATTATTTTGAGTTCAAATTTTAAAAAAGATTTTTGTAAAACAAGACTGATACAGTTTAAAAAGAAGAATGTGTTTTTGTTTGATAATATATAATGTATGTTAAGCATAACATATATTTGTTCAGTAATTTTTTAATGAATAGTATTGATTATTTATAATACCAAATTAATATCAAATATTTAAGTGATGGCTGAATACAATATGAATAAAATAACAACAATAAAATTGGTATATTTGCATAATACAAAATTAAGTTTTAAGAATAAAGGTGTTACTAAAAATACTAAGAAATTCATATTTCTTTGTTTTAATTGGTCTAATGTTATTTACATTTTACGTAAGAATTATACCGTATCATCGAAAAAATCGGCGTCTAGTTGGCTTGGAAATGAACATCGATGACATTCCCTAAATAACTGTACACATAAAATAATTAACTAGAATTTCACAATCTTGGAAAATTTGATATTCTTGAACCTTGATTCTAAATATTCCAATTTTTTGATTTTCTTGGAATTTAGGTTCAGGAAAACGCTGATTGATTTTTCATTTGTTTTTCATTATTTTATTTATTTAAAAAAAAACGGTTCGGCTAACATTATAGCCTCCATCAGTGTTGCGTCATATGAAAAAATAGTGTCGAATATAATCCAAAAATTGCATATAAAATATGCACACCACGCACATAATGTTTACTGCGTACCCATAGTCAATGTAGATAATTTTAGTGTTAAGAATAATAATTTTAAAAAATATGTGGTCATCTTTTGATAAGTTTATATTAGTTTATTAATTGCAGTAAACATTATGAGGTGTGAATTATATTGTATATGTAATTTTTGGATTATATTCGACACTATTTTTCATATGACACAACACTGTGAAAGGCTATAGTTAGCCGAAACGTTTTTTTTTTTAAACCAAATAAAAAATAATGAAACCCAAATGAAAACTTAATCAGTTTTTCCCGAACCTAAAAATCCCAAGAAAATCAAAATTTTAGAATAATTTAACATATAAAATGCCAGCGATCTTCATTTCATAGCCATCGCTGACGCCTTTTTTAGATAATATTGTATTATTTGTAAATATAATTTTTCGAACATTGATACTTGCAAAATATACATATAAATTTTGTGAATGCAAATAATAATACATCACTATTAGTAGATATTCAATGTTTTTGTTAAATTAGATCGATTTTCAAACCCCAAAATTTAAAATATATTTATATTTTACCCATTATCTTATGTACCTATACATTATTTGTACATTGTAAAATATTTGCTGCATTTGTATGGTTTATAGTTTATTTGCCAAAGTATTTATTACTATAAATAGGTATATATGTTGTAGTTATTAACTGTATATTATGTATATTTCATTTAAACTATATCATTTTTAAAATACAAACCAAAAATCTGAGGAATAATTATGTTTTCCATGTATTCTACAACATATTTATTAATCCGTTATATCTAACTAGCGTGACGTCATAAATCTCGCCCGTAGGCTGATCTTTTAATAGAAGGCATTGGCCCACGGATTATTGCCTGGTATGGAGGGCTTAAAAAAGGAGATTTATCGGCAATGGGCAAATTTGAAATTTCTGTCCCCACTTTTAAGCAGCTTCCTCGGTTTGACAGCAGAGGCACTGCGATCGACTGGGATACTACATTTTCATTGTTAGTATACGATTTAATTGTGTTTTTAATAAAATTTATAGTTAATTTACTGAATTTTTAGCAGTACAACAATGAGTCGTGGTAGAAATTGCTTTGTACCTGGCTGTACAAGTGGGAATCCCAATAAAAACAAGGCAAATAAAGAACGGGGTGAAAGAAACCCAAGCCTTTTCAAAGCTCCTAATGTAAGTAGTATGACTATTTATTTATAAAAATTATGGATAGATGTTAAGAAAAACATTAAAATTATATACTGTCAGTGTACAGATTAAATTATAAACCAAATTAATAGGAAATATAGCCTAAAATCAACATGTGTATAACATAACCTAGGAGGCCTTGTTATAAAATTAAAATAATTTAATACTTACTAGGTGCTAAAATTACCTGTTGACATGTACCTATATTAACCACAGTTTGAACAGTGCTATTGAAAGTGAATATTAAATATTTATACTTCAAGATCGTATTCTCAAAATAACAGCTTTAATAGTGAAAAATGTTTTTTTTTTATTTTATTTAACAATTATATATCTTTTATTAGGATCCTAGCTTGCTACAGCAGTGGCAAAAGGCGATACCCAGATCAGACAAGACACTTAGCAGCAAAGATGCTGTTTGTGAACTACATTTTCTAGATGAAGATATTTTGACTCATTATGAGATCAAATTAACTGACGGAACTATCAGTAGAATTGAGCGGGGTAGACCATTATTAAAGGAGGGTTCAATTCCAAGAATTTTTCCTAACCTGCCTTCATATTTCTCTAGTAATAAAAGAAAGAGGAAACCACCATGTGAATAAGCTCTTTAAATTAATATGTAGGTATATTGTAGCTAGGTATTTTTTTAGAATGCATTTTTTTTAAATTGTAATTTTTTGTGTTCTTGATATAATATGATGTTCCTGTTTTATTTTTTGGCATAGTACATATAGATATTTAATATCTAAGTGCTAAATTGTATATTAAATTTATATATTGTATATTTTATTTATTAAATTTAGTGGAATTAGTTAATAGAAACAAAAGTTGTAATGTATTAATATTGCTAAATAAATATTTATATGATGAAATAAGTCAGCGTATATACATATTCACAACTCTGTATTTTTGTGCTTTTGAAATAAACTGAGTACATTATTTATTCATTAATATTTTATTTACAAACCTACCTTATATTAATAAAGTGAATATCAATAGAAAAACCTTTACAATTATTAGGTGACATTGAATATAATATATCTTGAATTTAATTGTCTACGAAACAGTGACAATTTGCAAAACTTTGCTAATGACATTAAAACTTACAATTCAACGCTAGAAAAAACGCTATTGAACACAGGAAACGTTTCAGCTCAATATACCTACTCTCTAGTTTCAGCTATAAAAAGTTATGGAATAGATAACACCGATCAAAGGGTGCAATGGTAACGTTCGTCTTCAGTTTCCATTTATGATTAAGTTATTCCTGATAAAATACTCTTAATTTTCGTTATTCAATCTGTCAATCGCCATAAAACCACTACTAGTTCGAAAGATTTTAATGTTTATTAAAATGGTATCACACTAAACTGCATGTAAACATGTCAATTTCAAATGTTTTAATGAAAAACTATGAACCTTTAAACTGCATCAACAAAACTATTAATAAAACACTAACACAATCACACCATAAACTATTTCATTCGCATTTCTCATCAAGAAACAATTACTGTTTACATCAAATCAAAGGTTGAACTGGTGATAAATTTGTTGCTGGAACTTCTATCTTTTTTGTACAACAGTTCTAGGGAAGATTTATTTTAGCAGCTTATATGTTTCTTCGGTCGTGTATGCACTAAAAAGAACCACATAATAAAACATTTTTATAATATCAACTTAGGAAAAGGATATATTAAACCGGCATCTAATATAACCTAACTAACTTTTCAAACTCAAATTTAAGGTTTTGTATTCACAATTTTAGCCACGCACATTGCTCAATTAGAAAAACCACGTTTCTAAAAGCTAACTCTGGTAAAAATATGCCCAAATATTAACTTGGCTCTATAATTTATAACAAAATAGTTATTCTTGCCATAAGAAGCTGTGTATTTCTAGTATCCCAATCATCACAAGCGCCCCTAACGGCGATTTTCGAACTTCATTTAGATCTCAAAAACTGGGCCCATAATTTTTGCGTTCGATTCGCCTCCTCCTTTTAGACTCCATATTGCCTGGTTATGTAACATGTCGCCTACATTTTTTTTAATTTTATGAATTTTCTATATTTTTGTTTGGCAGATTTATATTTAACTTTCATTTTCATAAATATAGAATATAGTAAGAAAAATATTTATCTTTAATTATGTATAGGAAATACTGTCATGATATATATATATTTAGAAATTACTTGATAATGAGCTTTTAGGATGAATTCTATAATTAAATTTTACCCTACTAATTTTACGGAATGTAAGCTACGTATTATGGGCCTATATACCATGGTACAAAGGGCCCAAAAGGGCCTATACCATGTTGGCATAGAGAAAGGAATAAAAAAGTATATACACATGCCTATAACTAGGTATCACAGACCTAGGTATTTAGAATTAGGATTTTATACCGGGAATATCTCGTAAAAATCATGAATAAAAGTAATAGGTAGGTATATTATAGGTGCTTTTGCTTCACAATCTTTAAGTATTTCCTACTTGTAAAGATCCTTAATAAGGAACTGCTTATCATGAATTACACAAAACAAGTATAAAGTATTTCTATAGTTATTTTTCTGTTTTAATACAGTATCTGGATAATGTCGGGATAATAACGGTCGTATATTTATTTCATTTGAATAGGTATTAACAGGGACATAAGATTTATGAATCAAACGAACTAGTATCTCCTTTTACTCCGTACTCCGTGGTACTGTCTACACAGAGCTCTAAATGATTAAATATTTTTGCCATTATTTTTTATCCTCGTTTTTAATTGTTCTCGTGTGGTTCTCGTTTGAATCGATTCAAATCATATTCGAATATTCGAATGAACCGCCGAACCGCCAAGTATTTCTCCTTTTTGCTGCTAGGGTTGATCTGGACCAGAGATATGGAAGTGGGAGAATGAGCTTCGACGAGTGCGCATCCAAATTTTTGTCGACGGCAAGATGGCAGACATCTTCCAGGTCTCGCTGTCACTTCCCCTCTTTAATTGACATCTGTTTGTTTTGTTTTTTTTTCGTTTGTGTTGTTATCTAGTTAAAATGTATTATTATCTCAATTATTCTAAACACTAATTCAAAAGGATTGTTGTATATTCATAGTCATTCTAAGAAAGCTAATACGCCGGGAATAATGATTAGTTTTCATGTGTAAGTTTATACAACATAATTGTGTTTACAGATGATTCAAAACTGTTTATTTTTAGTTTTCCTAAAGGCGATTTGTAAAAATCGTGATTGTAATTGGGAATGGTCAAAAATAAGTGTATGATGTGGCCATTTAAAGAGGATGTTTTTATTACGTGTGGAGGAAGAAGATACTTGGAATCAGTGTTCGTGCTTCTGTAAAACAGTGCACTCTTATAGTGTCCATGAAAGCACAAGTTCAAGTGTACCAGAAATATATCAAATAAGATTGGTCCTTACTTGACAAGAAGATTATTTGGAGGAAAAGAAAACATAAGATAGGGTATTTTAATCGAACAGCGAAAATTTAACACTTTTATTGTAAAGTTTGTTGTAGGTAGTTGTAGTTTTGTGCTAAATATTTCTAACATTAGCAGCAGCCGTGTTCAGAGTGTCAAGAGGAGGAGAATTCAGTTAATTAGATTTATGCACAGTTACAGGTATGAAGGCTTTTTCAAACATAGTATCGAGTTCTATAGTCAACATTTTTAGTATTCCTACAACTGTAAAAACAAGGAACATTGGACTGAAAAAAATGGCAAGATTTATATAGGAAGAAAGGGTTATTATGCCAATAAGAAAATAAATCTGTAGGCAGAAGTTTCTTATTTAAAAACTGTTATGGGGCATATATTAATTTGTATCTGTGCCACAAATCACTGAGAAAAATCATATAATATTCATAATTGTTAACGAGATGATATTTAAAGAGTGTTAAAAATGAGACTATTAGTCATGAAGCTTACAGTGTTACTTTGTTTCAATATTACACTTTTATTCTTGTAAAATCTATGATGAAGTTCAAAAGCATTTTGCAATGGCCTTAAATTGTGAGTTGTGAGCCAGGATTTATAGTAAAGGTATTTGATGCAATGAAACTTAATCGGTACCTTCCAGTATGTATTTTAGTAAGGGGATTGTCAATCCCATGTTTTTAAATAGATAAAATACAGGCCAAAGTTGACAATATTACAGTTGAGAAGAAACTATTTTATCTTAAAAAAAAATTTCTTAAAATTCTGAGATCATATAATCTAATTTTCTTAATAATAAATTAGGTATATGTACATACAGAATTTTGTTATGGACAAATAAGGATCGACAAGCTTCTTTTGTGCAAAAAATAAATGATTTTTTCTAGTATTACGACAAACCATAATGTGTTTTACAAACTTACCGGTAACAGTTTTTGTTTATAATAAAATATTTAGGAATAATTTGGGTTGTTTATCAATATATTAATGACTTGAATTTTGACAAATCGAATTTGTATCAAAATAATTTTACGAAATATAAAATTGATGTTCTATTACAAGATTGAGTTTTTATTGTCGACAAAAACCAGGATAAATACTAATAATAATACCCTTAATAAAATCAATGATGTTTATGTATTATGAAAATATTTGTTAGAGGACATGTTATGTAACAGTTTTTGAAACATAATTTGAAGGGACGAATAAAAAAAATAAAACAAAAACATATTTTTTCTAGGTTTATATTAAAAATACAAGGTAGGTAATCATCAAAAATAATTATGAACCAAATGTTTTTTATGAATATACAACTTGAACAAAAAGTTGTTTAGAACAATTTTTACCAAATTTGCAAAAATTTTAAATTGAAACGCGTAATTCAGTACAAGTAAACATGAAATATTATAAATACTTATTTAATATCATTTCGAGTGTTTAACGACGAAAAGGTCATCTATCCGTAGCGTCTTTTGTCAGAATATTCGTATATTTAGTGTATTATATACCAATATTGTACGCAGTTTTGAAACTGATAATTAAATAAATCATATTAATGTTAACTAACCATAATAAATGATAGAATTTCACTAAATTTAAATTGCCCCCCGTATGGTTGAAAACACCAAATTGATATTTGATTACTTATAGATTACCACCTATATACAAAATGACACGAAGACCTGGAATATGGCGCCCCACTTGATTAGACCTTCTGCGCATGTTGACGCTCATTCTCTATCCCTTCTATTTCTCTGATCTGGACGGAGCCTACTTATTTTACGCGGAACCCGAACCGCGGTCCTCAGCCATATAATTTTCATTGGCCTACCGACTTTATCGAGTATCTATCTAATCCTTTACTGCTTTATCTAATCGACTCTTACGAGATATCCGATCTCATCCGGCCTCCAACCGGCGTGAATAAGCAGTGTGTCTCAATCTGGTCTCAATCTTTGGTCTCAATAGATTTTACACCCTTGCCATTCTTGCCATGCAACAACTTTTTATTCAAAGGCAACAATATCTGCAACAACAGCACGACAAAGATTCTCCATATCTCTGAAGTGTTTTTATTTGAAGCGAAAGCCACGCGAAAGCATATTTATTTCAGGGATGAAATGTAAAAAAATTAATTTTGTTTTTATAAAAACGTAAAAAATCTACTTCTTCAGATTAGAAAAGCCCCTTAAAAACCCTAATTAACTGCAAGAATGTTGAGTAAAAAATTTATTTAATAATATTTGATTTTTAGTGATATTTTTTACAAGTATCATCAAAACGTAATAAAGAGACGTGTCATATATAATTTCGAATAAAATATATATGATTCATGAATCCTTAGATGATCCATGAAGAACACGTGCAAACAAAATTGTTGTCTATAGCTGGGCAAGTCAGGTAAGTGGACAAAACTTATTTCCGTTATCTGCGTTTGACACGTCAGTGTTTTTAAATGTCCGAGAATAAAAAGATAGAAATAATGTGGAAAATATTAATATTTTGCTTGTTCTTTACGGTGATAAATAGTGCAGAAGTAGTAAATAAAAATGTTATTAATAGGAAAGTTGTGAGATCCATTGATTTAAACTCACAATTGGTAAAAATTAGCGGAACAATTACACTTGAAAATGCCGGTAAAGAAGCGGTAGGAAATTATTTGATTGGTTTTGAACGAGATCTTCAAGGAAGCATTGCATATATAACAGTTCAAGATTCATTAAAAACACCTTTAAAAGCTGGAAGAGTAGCAGTTGTTGGAGCTGGTACAACTGAAGTTTTTTATAATGTTCAGTTAAAGAGTAACGTAGAACCTGGTAAAACAGCGACTATTCTCTATGAAGTTGTACTTACCAAAGCTCTTCCACCTTATCCAAGTAGCATAACTCAAAAAGAGAAACAGCTTGTCAGATACTTTGGAAATCATTATTTCTACTCTCCATACTATACAGAATATCAGAAGACTGATGTTTTGGTATGTATTTTGATCTTAATTGTATTTGATTTTTGTTATGTATTAAATGAACAAAATTTAACAGACATTAGTTACTTTAAATGGAATATAATATAATTAAAGTTTAAATTTCCTAATGTATGGTATCTATACAATGCTGCAAAATTGTAAGTATTCACTCACTTGCTTGTTGGGAATATTTCTTATCAAAGTAGGTACCTCTCAGGTGAAATTAGTTCCTTATCTCTACAAATAACACTACCACGTTTCATGAAAATCAATAAAGGATAATTATTATTTAACAAGATTCTGAAACTTAAAAATTTATTTTTGAATTAATTACATAAAATCATCTCAAATATATGCTTATAAATTTCATAAGCACAGTTAGCAAATATAGAAATGTACAGTAGTATATTCTCAGCTATGTATCTAAGGGAGGTTAAGTTGGAGTGCTTGCCCTTCATCAAAATTTAAGAAAGCATTAAATTCAATGATGCACAAAAAATCTTAAGTTTTTAAAATTTATCAAATATTTATTATATTAATATCAAAGATAAATGGCTAGCGCCTATTTTAAACCACCTTATCTTGCTTGAAGGTAGTGATGGGTTGTTATTTAACTATCTGTTATTTTATAACAATTATTTAGAAATAACATAACGCAACCGTTACTACTTCTAAAAAATAACAGATATAAAATAATGACACGTAGAGATCGACCGCCCGTGAACGAAGTCGGCGCTCTGCACCGCCACGAAATACTATGCGACTCGAAGTAATTCCAAAAAACAACTCGTATGGATGGAAAACATGTTATTTCGACAACCATCGATACAGGCGGCGAGATACAACGGACAACGGAGTTGGGAATGCACTACGGCGAACGTAGCTGCATCGGTCGATGGTTGTGTTGGGCTTGCAACTTGCAACCGCTTAAAATAATAGGATATAAAAGAAGCAGCTTTTTTGAAACAGTTGCGGGCATAACGCCTGCCGGTCGAGATAACAGGAGTGGGAAAGTAACGCTGCTGCATTGGTCGATTGTCGATGGAGGCTCGCAACGGGTTGGAGAATAACATATAGAAAATAAGCAAATTAAAAAAACAAACATAAAATTAACTGAAACGCACCAAGCCTATTATGACAAAATATCAAAATGAGAAAGCTAGTTACAATTTCTCTTTTATTGTATTTCACTGGATTTTCTATTTTAGGTATCTTCAAGAGCTGTGGAAACTTACTCAAAACTAAAACCAGTGAGTCAAACTGATTCAACAATTTCTTACGGGCCATATGAGAAAGTTCCAGCATATTCTATTGACCACATGACTATACACTATGAGAACAATGCTCCATTTTTGACAGTTACTAGGTAGTTAGCTAATTTAATATATGTATATGACTAATATTGTCATAATTCTAATACATATTGTCATTTGCCAAATATAAAAAATAGTTTGAAAAAATCCTTATGTGAACTTCATGATACTGTGTAGAAATATTTTTTCTTAATTTAGATTTAAAGTTCAAATTGTACTAATAATTATGTAACTTGAGGTTGGAACGTACTATTGAGGTGTCACACTGGGGAAATATTGCAATAGAAGAAGCTATTGAAATCAAACATACTGGAGCTAAATTGAAAGGCCCCTTCTCAAGATATGATTATCAAAGAGATACAAGCAGTAATCATCATAGCATTAAAAGTTACAAAACAGTTTTACCGGCTTTGGCTCATAGTATCTACTATAGGTAAGACAATATACTTTCAATTAATACATTTTGTGTTAGTACACTAAAAATACCGGTTGAGTCTCAAAGTTGTTCGCCCTATAAGTTTTTTTATTTTTTTGGTTAAAAAACGAGATTTGGTATGTTAGTATATGACATAAATTAGGATTGATTAACGTATTCAATTGTTTTCGGTCATTTCCGGTGAAACCGGAAGTGACCGAGAACTACAACTTTTGATTTTTAAATGATACCCCCGGTATTTTTTTACTTTATTCGATAGAAAATGTCACTCTGAATAGTTAATGTCACTCTGAACTTGTTTGTTTGTTTGTGTACCTTGTTTTTTTTTACTTTGTTTGTTAGTTTACCTTTGTCTACAAATTGAAAAATTTTTTGACAATAAAGGCATTTATTTATTTATTATTTATAGAATGACATATCATACGTCAACTTTTGACATTTTCGCATATGGTTTATTTGAGATTATAACTTGCGGTTTGTAACGAAAATTTGACTCGAAATACCAAGTGTGTGATATCAAATTATTCGTAAAAAAATGCTTTTTCGAAATATGCTAATGAGCCACCCTCGTTCCATTTGAAAAAATTGAGATATGATTAAAAATACGATTTGGGCATTTTCTAACTGGCCAGTACAAGACACTAAAAACATTAGACGATCAAATCTATTTTTCCAAGGCTCCTTGATGAAGAATTAGTGTTTTTAACATAGCCATGGCACTCTAGATTAAATGTGGAAATACATTTTTTTATTAAACCAGAATGTCAAAAGTTGACATGTGATATGTCATTCTATTCAGAATGTCACTTTCTATCGAATAAAGTAAAAAAATACCGAGGGTGTCATTTAAAAAATCAAAAGTTGTAGTCATTTCCGGTGAAACAGGAAGTGACCCAAAAAAAAATAAATACACCAATTAATCCTAAATTATATCATATACTAACATACCAAATCTCGTTTTTTTATCTGAAAAAATAAAAAAGTTATAGGGGTGAGCCACTTTTGAGATGCACCCGGTATTATAGCGCCATAAGAAATATCATATGCATAATTGCGTGCAATGTCTTATTCTGTGTTAGAATTTTTCTTCAATAACGAAGCGAAATATGCAATAGCTTTATAAATTCATGAATTGACTAACTTTAGGTATACTCTGTAAATCAAAAGATTATATAATTTCGATAAATTACACTGAAAGAAGAGAATTAAAATGATCTGGCCTTTCAATTAAACAACTCTTACTATCCTATGTTCGTTCCATTGTATAAAGACTAGAGAAGGAGCATATAATATTTTTTTTTAATATATTATTAAAATATCTGTCATTACTAAATTTTTATTTTGTTAGGGATATGAATGGCAACATTTCTACATCTAGTGTCAAACCTAAAAAGGACTACATCGAATTAGAACTAAGGCCAAGATTCCCTCTCTTTGGCGGCTGGCAAAGTTCTTATATATTGGGTAATATATTGTTATCTCGCATAACGTTTGTTTGTATATTGTATATTTTCAGGATATAGTGTTCCAAGTTATCCATATTTATTCAGAAAATCTAATGGAGAGTTTGTTTTAAATGTCCGTCTATTAGATCATGTTTTTGATGATATGGCGGTAGAGGAATTGGAAACTAATATTGTTCTTCCTGTTGGTGTATCTAATATCAAAGTAAAAACACCATATGAAGTTAAAAGATTGCCTGATGGAGTTGCATATAAATATTTGGACAATATTGGAAGGTATGTAAACCATATTTTGGACGTGATTTGAAAACAAGGATATAATTAAATAAGCAAGACACATATTTCTCAGAGATTAGTTAGTGACATGTAATATTTTTAAGATATAAAAAAATTATTTTGTCTTAAGCTTGATTTTCATGCGTCCGGTATCCGTTGATACGACGACGGCGCTCTGACTGGCCATAGCGTTTTCGCGCCACTTTTCATCCGTAAAAAATTTTTACTCCAGTTCGTCAACGGAGAAAGATCGTACGATAACGGATGTTTTGACACATTTTTGAGAAATTTAATCTAACCTTAAAAATACAATAGTACAAGAGCAAGCAACGTCGGAAAAACGAGAAGTTTAAGAAAGCTGGTTATTTAATATATCTTTTTCTATGCTCTACTGACCAAAGTGCGCGCCGTCTGGATGCTGGTAGACTACTGAGGTTCACTACTACACATCACATCCTAATAACAGGGTATCCCATTTTCGTGTATTTTATGGGATTTCTCGTTTATAAGTAGTGATACAATAATGCGATTTTCACATTACTTTGCTACTTTTTTTTCGAAACTAAATATGCTATACATATGTTTGTCCTAGCCTCCTTAGTTCCTGAAATACAGGGCGAATTTGTGATGCGCAGTAGTGAACAGATGTGGCTTTAAATTCATATCATATCATCGTATCGTCGGATAACGGATGCATAAAAATGAAGCTTGACTTCTTAATTCTTAATATCTGTGAATGGAGGCGTTTGATAATGTTTTTATTTCTTTTGTCTTAATACTCAAGTGGTACTTAATACATTTGACTAATAGTTTAATTTTGACATCTTTTACAGGACCGTTATTAGAGCATCAAAGAGTAATTTGGTCGAGCAGCATATTCAAGATATTGAAATTACGTATGGCTGGCCATCCCATATGTTGCTACACGAACCAGTTTTGGTATCCATAGCTTTATTCTTAACATTTATCATTGTAATAATTTATGTAAGATTAGATTTTTCAATAAGAAAGCCTGAACATGCTAAAAAAGACTAAATGTATTAGGTTTCTGCTTTTTTATATATCAGTAGTGTTGCAAATAAATGTACCTATTGATAATTAAGGCATTTTAGTAATTTCCTATAAAAAAAGAATTTGGCACCACTATAAAAATATATTTGACTACAGACATACACCATAAGTTATATTTTATTTATCTTTCATTTAACGGGGTCAAGTTTGTAACGGCGAGACGAGGCCACGCCCACTCGTGACAGTTCCACTACATCTGACTTGGCGTAAATCAGTTCGCAACGGAAACAGTCGTTTGAATTAATGTCATTTGTCGTTTTATCGTTATTTAGACTATTTCGTTGGTTTATTTTCACAACATGCATTCGGTAGGGGAAATGTTCAGTAAAGCTGATTATGGCAATCTCCCATAAGTCATTTTTATGATAATGGATTATTTTAATAAAAATAAGGAGTTTAATTTTCATTAGTTCAATTTTTTAATTTCTATTCTATTTTGTTGTTTAAATTCTACCTATATTGTAACGCAGCAGGCTTGCGAGGGTGAAAAAACAATGGGTTAGCCGATATGAAAGTAGGTAACTTATTACTAATAGGATCTACGTAATACTAATAGGATCGCCTCATAATAAACAATAATGTGTAATTTTTTTAAATTTCTGAAGTTCAGAATTGTTTACAACTTTTCATATTCTATTAATGAATCAGGTTTTAAAGATCTTGTGAATAAAATGCTGATGTCGACCGATCTTTTACACACATACTATATAGTACTGTTTACTATAATAGTATGCGAGATGCAGGAATGAGCGAAGGGTATAGACGTGGATATTCGTATATTGAGGCTACTAAAATCTGAAAGGTATTATTTTTAAAACACTAGTGCCTTAAGTGATATCTTTGACTATTTATTGGGGTGTGTTTAAAATAACATTTTTAACACATTTGTAGAAAAATACATACTTAAATAAAGTCTGTTTTATATTTTTTGTTGAGTTATTTATTAAGTTGTGAACAAAAATGAATAGATTGGTTAATGATTACCTGCATTAGTAGGTGTTTTTACATTTGGACATAAATAATACTCCTTGCATTCAAATTACACTTTCTGTTATGTATATGTTATGGTTTAAGTCCGATATCCGGTCAATGTCGATAGGCATGTTAGGTCTTCCGGTAAACCGGTACCAGGACCGGTACTTTTAAAATATTCCGGTATCGGTATCGTCTTTTACGAGACCGGTATATCGGTTTCGGTACCAGTACCGGAAGACCGATTTTAGTACTGGTACCGTAAGACCGGTTTAAACCGGTCCTGAAAGATCGGTTTCAATCGATACCGGAAGACGGGTTTCAATCGGTATAGAAAAATAGATTCATGATAATATGAAAATCAAAAAACCTAGATAAAACGATTTCGGTACCGGTTTCTGTGCAAAGCTGATTGTGTTCTCCTACTCTAGGTACCGTATAATCGAAGAAAATGCGTCAGCGATGGCTATGAAATGAAGATGGCTGTCATTTTATATCTAAAATTATATGGGGAGTCATGGGAAAATTCATTTCCAAGCCAACTGGACGCCGTTTTTCTTTCGATCATTCGGTATAATACGGTCAGGAACATGCAATATAATTTATTTTGATGTATGTTTAATGCATTGCTAGTCAAGTTTGGTCTAGTAATCTAGTCATTTTTTTAAAAAGTACATCTAAAATTGAAGTAAAGCATCTTAAGCTTGATTTTCATGCATCCGTTATCCGACGACACGATGATACGATATTAGAGAACAACGGCATACGGTCGAGTCGGCCGCGTAGCATACGGTCGAGTACGGCTGGCACGTAGACGTCAAGAATCTTTTACGTGTATAAAAAATAAAAAATATAAGAAATGCGCATGCGTACGTAAACGTTTACGTGTTTGTAGGCCGACTCGACCGTATGCCGTTGTTCCCTATTAATTTTATTGGTTGAATTGACAGACTTCGATTGGTTAGAAGCGGTTAACCAATCGAAGCTTTTAAATTCAACCAATAAAATAAATATCGTATCATCGTATCGTCGGACAACGGATGCATGAGAATCAAGCTTTACTCATGAATCGGTCATGTATATTATACAGGGTGGCGCACCTCATTCGCCTCGGTTGATGATTATACTATAACGGAAAGATGTAGAAACAATGTGCATAATTTAAAATTATTTTGAATTGTCAGAACTAAGATCCATACCAAAGTTATATTTTTTCTTATGGAACACACCCGGTATTTTATTTCATTTTTAGATTCTTGGACATAAAATAAGGCATTTATTATAAGGGTTTAATATGTTTAAAAGCTTTGGTTTTTGGGATATTTAACGATATTTAAATATGCATGCTATAATAAAGTGTCTCAACACCCTGTACATTACTTTTCAGAATTAATTCTTGTGCTGACTTTTAAGCCAGAGAAATAAACTTACAAAAAATTGGATTGCTTCCAAACATTTATACAGGGGTTTCAAAAATTGCTGGGCTATTTTAAATATTATTTTACATAAAAACTTCGTTATTTCAAATGCAACACCGTGTATATTTTAAAATAAGTCGAAGCAGATTTAAATGCTCTTTCAAACTATATTAGGGTTTCCTATACTTCTCTGTTTCAGATTTTGAATAAAAAGCTTTGAATATAAAGAGCGATTTTTCAATAAAATGACAATCAAGATGGCTGGTGTTGCCATGGCAATTTGCTAGTGAGGCATGATACAAGAAGGGTTTGGTTTGGTTTGGTTTGGTTTGGTCACAACCCTCCTTGTATCATGCTAGTGAGGGTGCATCCACATCATCCTAAAAAAAGCGGAAGGCCGCGCCGCGCCGTATCGGCGTAACGACCTTGGATCAATTTCCAGCAATTCTAATGGCTGAAATTTTTGACAGATGAAATTTTCAGCCGATAGAATTACTGGAAATCGATTAAGCATTATATCAGCAGAGATATCATCAAGGTCGTTACGCTGATACGCTGTTCCGCTTTTTTCTAGGATATTATGGATGCACCTCAGGGGAACGGCGTATCGGCGTAACGACCTTGAATAGATTTCCAGTAATTCTATTGGCTGAAAAATTCATCTGTCAGAAATTTTATCTGTCAAAAATTTCAGCCAATAGAATTACTGGAAATCTATTCAAGGTCGTTACGCCGATACACCGTTTCTAGGATAGTGTGGATGTACCCTGAGGGTGCAGCCACACTATCCTAAAAACGGCGTATCGGCGTAACGGCGTAATGACCTTGAATGGATTTCCAGTAATTCTATTGGCTGAAAAAGCATCTGTCAGAAATTTTATCTGTCAAACTCATCTGTCAAATATTTCAGCCAATAGAATTACTGGAAATCGATTCAAGGTCGTTACGCCGTTACGCCGATACGCCGTTTTTAGGATAGTGTGGCTGCACCCTGACAGTTAGTAGTAATTTTCAAATTCGACATTAGTTTATAAATTTTCGGGAAGAACGTTTCAGAAGTGCAATAAAACAATTAAATTCAATTTGTTGGCTGACACATATTTCAAAAAACGTTGTTGTTTTTAAAATGTGTTTAAATTAAACAGACTAACGGAATCCTTAACAATATATTACATATCTTTACCCTTACAAAAAATATATTTGAATGTGAAATTTTACAATAGAAACAATTTTATATAGAGACAATAGAAACAATTTTATATAGAGACAATAGAAACAATTTTATACAGAGACAATACCTAGTAACAATTTTATATACCAGGTGCGTCACCCGGTAGAGACAATAGAAACAATTTTATTAGATGAGATAGACAAATAAATTTGTATAAAATAAAACAATAATATTTAACTGTAATCAAAATCATCAACATCTTCAAAATCATCTGTTATGTTTTCTTCCTTTTTCAATTCTTCCACATTTCGAATTGGCCAAATTGCTTTTATAGCATCAAAGTTGCTGTCACTCATACCAAAGCCTTTAATGTCGTTCTTAGAATCTATTCCTAAAACCCATTTCAGTAGGAAAAATTTTACACAGTGTCCAAGAATATAAGACACAAACAGATTTTTTATTTTAAGGATTTTCAAAAACTCGGCTGGGTGTTGTAACTGTAAAAAACCATTGACCAAAGAAGCTGCCATTGAAACTGTAGTAATTTTAATACAACCGTTTGAGAAATTTACGAGGGTTTAACCGGGATTTAACTATAGGCAATAGCCCCCATACACCAGAAGATCCGGCCTTCGGATTAAATCTTTGCGTCTCGAAGAATCGATTATAACTGACAGGGGCCCATGCAGGACAATTTACATAGTTCTATTACGTCTTGCGGCCACTACCTCGTCGACTTACACACGTATGTCTATCTTTAAGCGTCTGTGAAATATTGTTATTTTAAAGTCAGAGTTTTCACTCTTTGCCATGCTACAAAATCCAAACGATACAACAAACAGCACAGTGGCCCTTGCCCTTGAACTACCCTGTCTTAGTCTATACTTGTATTCACGTAAAACTTCCCAATATGGCCGACTTCAGAATGGAAGGCTTGAAAACCAAAAATACCTAGATTCAAATCCATAGCTCAAATCGATTCTTCCAACCTTCCTTGCATTTCTTCTGTGGTAGATTATTCTGATCGACGATCGACGCTGCGGCCCGTGTTTGTGATTTTGAATATTTGTGTTTTGAGTTTCTATTTGATTTTGTTCTGTGTTCTTTAATTTAGCTTGTAGTTCTTGTTATATAGTTATCGTTTTGTGTTTGTGTTGTTTGTATTTTTATAGTATTCGGTAGTTTAATAATATGGCCAGTACAAGCTTTTTTTTTAAAGGTAAGATCATAACCTATAACGCATCTCTGTTAGTTTTATTTAATTTAATATTTTTAGAAACATTTAGCAATAATCCGTTGCCAAATATTTCGGATAGTGATAATGAAAATCAAATGGATCAGGTATAAATAGTTTTAAGTGAAGCATTAATCATAAACAAAGTGATGACATTGTAATCACCTTTAAGAATGATGTTTTGTTTATATATAAATAATCTTCACTGCTCAAGAACTCAGGAATAGCCAGGAAGATATTCAAAATGTGTAAAGCACTTAATTTTTTTTAGGAAGCTATGTCTCATCCACAAATTTGTGGGAATAAACTAGCCCAGATATTTGTAAAAAATGTCTACAATTATTTTGTGAAGAATTTTCCTCATATAAGTCCCCTTCAGGTTTGTAATTGTCATATTTTTAGGATATGTAGATTAAAACTTATATTTCAGGAAACAGCACGGGCTTTACAAATTAGCTGCAAGTCAGTTTCGAAATATAAAGAAGGTCCAAAAGACGAGTTAGTTGGGAAGACTTTAAGACAGAAGAAGAAATTGAAGACAGCTGATGTTGGGAATGGCACCAAAGACCAAATAAGATGTGAAATATACAATATGTACAATAATTGTAAGTAGTTTTTATGAATCTATTTAATATTGCATTGTTTTTATATTTTATGAAATATATTGTTTTTACTTTACAGCATACACAAAAAAAAATAGGAAATACAATTATACACTTAAAACACTTAAGGTTTGTAATAGATATAGTTAGAATATCAAACAATAGGTATGTTGTAATGAGTTAGTAAATGCATGGTTCATATTCCAAGTTATTTCATGTAGAATTTCTCAGATAGTGCGATGTCTATAATAATTACAAGAATTAAGTCAATATTGGCAATGCATTGATTGACTGGTGCCATAAGTATCTTAGCCAAAATCGCCCAAATGGCGACTTGCGATTTTCCTAAAATTTAGGTCGCCAGAGCAATCGGAAAATCGCCCAATTTGTGATAAATCGCCCAATCTGGTAACACTGATTGGTCCTGGTCCGGTCGTAGCTCACGTCGTATTGTCGGTAAGCAAAATCCCTGTCCAAAAATGTTGACGATCAGCGCCATCATCCGTCATAATTGGGAAACTTTGGCTGGAACCATTTTTAATATTTCACTTACATGGCCCTGAATTGAACTCTGACACTTGGCTGACATTGACGTTTACGGTTCCTTTTTCTAAATATTTTCATTATTTTTTGAGTTTTTATTCACAAATTCTACTTGATTTTGTTCTTTTATTTAACCTGCAATCTGCAGTACTAATTATATAGTTATAAATAATCTTTTCACCGATCAAGAATTGACAAATAGGTTAGAAGATATTTCAAATGTGTAAAACGCTTAAAAACGTATTAGAAAACATTGACTCGTTCACAAATTCATGAAAATAAATTAGTCTAGATGTTTGTAAAAAGGTCTCTAATTATTTTGAGAAGTTTCCTCGTATCAGTAATTTTCAGGTTTGTAATATGTACTATATGATAATAAATAGATTAAAACTTATATTTCAGGAAACAGCGCGGGCATTACAGATTGTTGTAAATCAGTTTTAAAATATAAAGAAGGTTTAACAGTTTAAATAAAGTATTTAACAGGTTTAAGAGTTGAGTTAGTAGAGAAGACCTAAATAAGGTAATGTTGGTAATGGGACCAAACATCAAATAACACTTGAAATATATAATTATGTACAATAATTGTAAGTAGTTTTTATGAATCTGTTTGATATCTATTGCATTTTTTTATATTTCTTGAAATATATATTTTTTTTACTTTACAGGATACACAAAGAATAATAAAAAATACAGTTACTCACTAAAAGCACTTAAGGTTTGTAATAGATGTAGTTAGAATATCAAACACGAAACCAAACCAAAAATTACACCCTCCGAATTTTGTACTTTTTTTATATCACTCGAAAGCATACATCGAAATAAGTATTTCAAGCCAAAAAAAGTGTGGATGATCCATAATTTAATGAAAAAATAAACATCTAATTATTGCTACAACAGGCTACTTTCTATGCGAAAACTCCTCCAAATTTTGTCGGCGTTGCCAGATTCATTCATTTCTTCTTGAAAGGTTCATTAAAAAAACACGTGCTGGTCCGAAGAAAACTCGCGTTAACAACAGATTATTTTAAAATCAAGAAAAGGCGATCGTCTGAACTGCTCCTACCCATAGCTGATATTTTGCCTACGAGATCTGACTATTTATAACTACAGTTAGTTTGAAAAAGAGTTTTTGATTGCGTTGGTTTCAACTTGTTTAAGGGGTTAACCTGTTGTTTTTTTATATTTTAATACGAATCTGAGTGCTTTCAATGTCTTGATTTTAAAATAACTTATAATCTGTTCTTATCGTGACAGCGCTACTGTATAAGAATTTGTTCGTCCGGCGACCGGCACGTAAAATCAAGTGAAAGCAATCAGATTCGTATTAAAATAAAAAACAAAACAAAAGATTAACACACTCACGGAAAGGTTGAAACCAACGCAATCAAAACTCTTTCGGTCTCAATTTTTTTTGTATCATGTGTAACGTACCGAATGATCGAAAAAAAACGGCGTCAGCCATGGCTATGAAATGTACATCGCTGTCATTTTATAGGCAAAATTATATGGGGAATGTCATATCGATCGTCATTTCCAAGCCAGCTGGACGCCGTTTTTTTCCATCATACGGTATTATGTATCATACAAACAAGAAATAACTTTGGCAACAATGCTTTAGGCAGCTTACATCCTTAACAACAAATGGTGACAGACGGCTCCGGTGGCAAGTTTGAATCGAAAGAGTAAATTGATCAGGCAAATATTACAAAAGATATCACCAACTCTATTTTGACTTAATGCTTCTCACTGATTAATTCTGACCTTTATATTAATAAAAAATGCATATAATCGTCATATTTTACAATAATTACACGCTTATACAACTTCACCATAACCTAAAAATGCACTTTTAATTTATTTATTTTTCAATAAATTGTGGTTCATCCGCAATTTTTTTTTGCTTAAAATTTTATTTAAGTGTATGCTTTCGACTGATATATTAATAAATGCCAAATTCGGAGGGTGTTATATCTGACCGTTATGGTGAATAGATTTTTCCAGTTTAACAGTACTTATTTATCAGTTTTAATCAGTTTTTCCTTTGAGTTTCAGATTTCTTAACCTTAAAATTTTCACTCTTTTAAACCATGTCAGTTGCCGTCTAAATCAGTGTTAATTATAAATTATGCCTAATACATGCCCAGGCATGACAGGGCATGAAGAATGAATTTTTGTAAGCTACGATCTTGCAGGTTAATGAACAATATCAGCACCTGGAACCTGAAAGGACATCATGTGGGAAAAATAATTAAGAAATCATTTTTCCGCAAATCGGCTATTTTATTTTCAGGAATTACAGCTAAGCAGTGCAATAGTTTTCTAAAAGATTGTTTTATCGTCTTTTAAACTTATGTTTGAGATGACATAACATGTAGGTACACACCTGATGCATTTCACGGCTATGAAAGACGTATCGGTGTTATATAAAAAACAGGGATTATCAAAGATCGTCATTTCAGCTCAACCGGACGCCGTTGTTCGATTATGTTGTAGGCGTATTTCGGTTATTTCATATCAGGTTCTATTACACTTATTCGCAGCATTATTCGTCAATGCCGCCAGAAAAATTATAATTTTAAACTTTTTCTGATTATTTCTTGCATCAAATTCAAAACAGGAATTTTAGGACTTCTGAACATGCCCGAAGTGACGCGTTCGGTTGGTGGGACAAATACCCCCGTAAGGACGAATACCGGAGGTGGCGGTATTCGTCCTGCGGAGAATCACCAACCGAACGTCACTCGATATTCGCCAGTTTCATACAAAAATGTCGCTGGTCAGGCACATAGTATCTGTCGGCAGCACGATCACGGCATTTGTTTTGTTTTTTGGAGGCGTGACTCATTTATTTTTAGAATATTGCTTCTTGCTGCTTAGAAGAACATGGGTATTGTAGTCAGCCTGATAATTCACGAATTACAGAATATCTGACAGAAGTCGAGCAAACGAACAGTGCGGCCCAGGAGTTTTTCTGAACAATGCAGTCTGCAATGTACAGTCTCAGGTGAGGCAAAAGTCGTAAATAATGTTCTGTTGAAACTCGTAACAATCTTGCACAGCCAGAAACAAATCACAATATCAGCAATAAGCCGTTGGATCGACACTTCAGGCATGTGATGGCTGATTGTCTGTTCTGTCTTCCGGCTCCATTGCTATTTTAAATATAGATTAGACATTACTTCAAAACAGTCATTTTAATGCAGTCTGAGAATCGGCATGAATTTATATATCTAAAGCAAAATGATTAGTAAGCGTGTCAATAGTTAAGCAGGTTTTGACTCCGTTGTTAAAATGTTTATTATGAATCTATTCACTATAACATTATTGGTATTTTTACGAATGTATTTCTTTTTTGAATTACAGCTAAAGCGATAGTACAAAAGACAATTTTTCAAACTTTAAGGTACGATTCGGAATACCTTTCAAATATAACCAGAAAAAAAACACATGTGGTAGCTACAATATGAGCCGTTAAAAACTGCTTTGCGTCGCATGATGGCTGTGAAATGAAGATTATAAAGTCTTTAAATGTAAAATTACAATACTCCTGAGTTTCACTTCACTCTGCTCCATGAGTCAAAGTAAAGATCACTGGAGCAGCTTTTCGAGTTAGTGAGTTATTAAGTGTATGTTAAAGACTTGCTGTATCTATTCTGCGTGTTAATGTATACTTTAACATTAAGGACAGTATTGGCAAGCCTTAAAACCGGTAAAATATAAGAACAAAATAGGTGTGAATCGCTATGGTGATCACAATTGATTAAAACAAATACATATAAACATTTATTACAAAAGTTCACACTTAATCTCATGATTTCCTATGCGATCGAATACGTTCAGTTATTGTTACAGACAGTCGATGATACTTAAGCATGTTTAAAGCCTTACTCTTCATATACATGAATCACATAGCACATATTAAGTAGACTGATCCTATTAAGGCATTTTATTTTGTTTTCTATTTATAACCTCTGTGTAACTCAATTTTTGTATATTTATTGAATATTAAGCTTAGGATTACAAACATGCTCCAGACAGAACATGGGTATTTTAAAACACTTTATTTAGAAAGATCTTGTCAGGACACTGATTTAAGATTACAGAAATATATCTGACGTGGGACAAATGTATAAAGGCGAGGATACCCTCAGAGACAATTATGAATGATGCAACGATGACATTTCAGTAAAGTCTGAATGGGCGACAGCGATCTTCATTTCAATAAATCGCTGAGGCCGTTTTTGTTCGATCATAATAAATTTATTGTTTTCAGAAACAAAATCCACTCGTTGAATTCTGCCAGTTTATATCAAATAGTACACATCTTATGGCGTAAAGCGTGTTTTTATGTACTCTTACACACAAAAATCGGCACCCAAGTTTCCTGACGTCGCCAAATTAGTATAGCTATTCTATTAAAAATATTTATTTAAAAGTATATAACATTTGTATTATTATCTTTCTAGATTAAAAATATTTTTAATCGGTTCTATTCTATTTTTAAAGAACAGGCCCAAAGAAAGGTAGATATGTCAAATATTGCAATTAGCTTGAAAATCCTGTATATTTAATTGAAACTGATGAAATTATGGTATCTGGGCTCAGAACTGCATCCCAATGCTCACTTTCTGAATCAGCGGTGCAAGGAATTTTAGAAAACCTGTATTTTTAATTGAAAGCTAGTTA